TCTGGACACATCCTTCCCTGGCTCTGAGTTTGGGTTGCAGTCCAGCTTTAAGTCTTCAAAGCAGCAGCTGGGTGAGATTGGAGCTTATGTTGTCTTCAACCTGTCGAAGCATGTTTCCTGGGTTAGACCCAGGACCAGTCCGTGAAACAGGATTTGAGAGCAAGTACTTTATGTGGGAGATGACCCAGGAGACAGCGCATGGTAGAGGGAAGTTATGGAAGGGGGCATCTTCAGGGTGGGTGGCCCCTGGGGCTCAGCTACTATACATACTCTAAAAGTGGTGGGGCAAATACCTCTCCACTGTCCACCCAGGAAACACATTTCTGTAGGTTGAAGTAAAACCATGGCCTGCCCAGGGCAGTGCCCAGCAGACTGTCAGCGTGCAGCACCAGGCGGTGTGGAGGCAGGTGTCTGTGGGGTACTGGATGGGCCTCATACGTAGCTAACATCTGCCCTTTGTCTTGCAGCCTCCTGAGCAGCCCCCCTACCCACACCACCAGGGCGGACCGCCCCACTGCCCACCTTGGAACAACAGCCATGAGGGCATGTGGGGTGAGCAGCGCGGGGACCCAGGCTGGAATGGCCAGCGCGATGCACCGTGGAACAGCCAACCCGACCCCAATTGGAACAGCCAGTTCGAGGGTCCCTGGAACAGCCAGCACGAGCAGCCACCCTGGGGTGGTGGCCAGCGAGAGCCACCCTTCCGCATGCAGCGGCCACCACATTTCCGTGGGCCCTTCCCACCCCATCAGCAGCACCCACAGTTCAACCAGCCACCACACCCCCACAACTTCAACCGCTTCCCCCCCCGCTTCATGCAGGATGACTTTCCCCCAAGGCACCCCTTTGAGCGGCCACCCTATCCTCACCGCTTCGACTACCCTCAGGGGGACTTTCCTACTGGTGAGTGTTTTACATGTTTGGAGGCCCAGTATACACAGCCCTCTCCTGCCCCTGGTTCCTAGAGAAGTCCAGGTTGCCTGCCTGGAGGAGGCACCTGACAGATCAGCCTCCTGAGCAGGCTGATGGCACTGCTCTTGGTCCTTGGTGTGCAGCTGATGTTCCTGGAGTCTGGGTCATAGGGACAGGGCGGAGAACAGGTTGGCGACTCGGGTGTCACCACTGACCACACACCAAGTTGTAGAGGTGTGACACCTTGGTTCTTCCCACACACCCAGGAATAGGGCACCATCTCTCTGTCCTGCAGAGAAGGGAAGACAAGCTCCAAAAGGAAAAGCAACCCCCGACTGCCCACAGCAGCAGGCAGTCAGCAGGTGCTGAGTCCAGAGCTCGCACTGCTGTCATGGGGTTGGTTCCCCGTTCATGTCACACAATTTTCATCAGCTTCTCTATGTATTGATTTTCGTTATTCTTCCCCAAAGAATATTTTTGTTAATTTTCTCTTTTTAAAGTAATTTTATTCCTACTGTATTATTGCTTCTACCTTGAAATCCACCATTGGTTATAAATTCAGCTCAGAGATCACTTAGCACGTTTATTGCTTGTGTTAATATCCTGGGGTGGCATGACAGAGTCCCACGGACTGGGCAGCTCCAACAACAGACATTTACTGTTTCCCAGTCTAGAGATAAGGTTAGTTTCTTCTAATGTCCTCTCTCCTTGGCTTGTAGAAAGCTGCCTTCTCCCTGTGTCCTCACATGGTCGTCTCTCTTTATTTGTCTGTTTCCTAATCTTATAAGTCATATTGGATCAGAACCCACCCATATTACTTCATTTTAAGTTAATTACCTCTTTAGAGGTTCCATCTCCAAATGCTGTTACATTTTGAGGTACTGAGAGTTAGGACACTGGTGGTAATTGGGGGGAGGAGGGAATGCAGTTTAGCCTATAACATTGCTTTTTGAAGGTTTGGTAATTTCCCTGTGGCTGCTCCTTTAACCTATGAGGTCCAGTCAGGTGTTGCTGTGGGTGGCAGGACAGGCCTCTACAAGCCTCGGCTCCTCTCCCCTTGCTGCATGCAGTGCCTGAGCAGACAGTGAAGCAGTGGGAGAGAAGGTGCCGGACGGGTCTGCCCAGAAAGTGGGTGTTGGTGTCCTTGCCCCTCTCTGAGCCCCTTTGTGCTGGCACTTGTCACCTTGGAAATCATGCCTGAGCCCTCTGCGCCACCCAGCTCATAGCTTCCCTGTGCCTAAGACAAGTTTCTGTTTTGCAGAGATGGGACCCCCTCATCATCACCCTGGCCACCGCATGCCACATCCTGGGATCAATGAACACCCACCTTGGGGGGGTCCCCAGCACCCCGACTTTGGCCCTCCTCCCCATGGCTTCAACGGGCAGCCCCCCCACATGCGGCGACAGGGCCCTCCCCACATCAACCACGATGACCCCAGTCTGGTCCCCAACGTTCCCTACTTTGATCTCCCTGCTGGGCTGATGGCCCCCCTTGTGAAGGTAAGATCTGTGGTGAGTGCCAAGCTTAGGGGCACATGCTCGGGCAGGTGCCTTTGCTTCCATGTGAAAAGTCCACCAATGAAACTCGTTTCGTATAGGCTACAAAACAGTGCTTCTCCAGGCTACTTCCCCTCTCATTTCCCACTCCCCAGTGAACTTGCCCAAGCCAGTCTCTGAGAATGTGCCTGAGCCAGGGAGGCCCATGTCCCCTTGCTCCCTCTGCACCTTCCGGTGCTGAGAGTTTGGTGCCACTTGGGGCGGGCTGGGTTGGGCATGAGGCACACAGGTCCTCTCAGTACTGGCTCTTGGAAGCCACCCTGTCCAGGGGCTGACAGCAGAGTGATTTTTCAGGAAAGGGTTGGCCTCTGAGGTACCGTCATGGAACTTGGGGATCTGCAGGGACCGGGTGGGGGGGCATGTAAGGGGTGAGTGAGCAAGGGGCTGGGGCTCCAGGGGCCCTGCTAGTCACTGTCCCTTCCCATGCCCTCTTAGCCAAAGAGGCAGAGGGGCCAGCGGCTCAGCTGGGTCCTGGGTTCCTGGGTCAGGCTAAGGCTGCTATGATTGTGGGAGGGCCTGCAACATAGATAATGGAGCCTTGGATAGGAAGTCAGGGCACAGGGTGGCATCTGCAGGTAGGGCATCTGGGGTTCACAGTGTGTGTATGAATGAACAGAGGCTCTTTTCTGTCCACTTAGCCTGGAGGCCACATCTGTGTCCATTTTCTGGAGAGAGAATTCTGTGGCTTTTATCAGCCTCAAAGAGGGTGACCTTCCAGGAAGCACTCTGATGCCCAGAGCATTGTGAACACTAAACCAGGGCCCTGTCTCCTGCATCCCCCCCCTGGGTGGGCCTGATTGGGGCTCCAGCAAGGTGTGGTGACAACTGTGTTCTCCACTGCAGCTAGAAGATCATGAGTACAAGCCTTTGGACCCTAAAGACATCCGCCTTCCACCTCCAATGCCACCCAGCGAGAGGCTGCTGGCAGCTGTGGAGGCCTTTTACAGCCCTCCTTCCCATGACAGGCCAAGGAACAGGTACAGGGCTTGGGGAGACCCAGCAGTGGGGCCAGTGATGGGAGGGGAGTCTCTCCCATCTCCCAGCCTGTCTTCCCCCAAGTTTGCTTCACAAGAAAGACTTAGCAGCCATACCTTCTGCCCAGCATGGTGTGAGGCCCAGGTGAGAAGTGTGGTGTCGCTAAGAAATCGCTAGTTTGAGTTAGAGGGTCCATTTCTCTCCTGACTATGGGTGATGTGTGTCACACATAGTGGCCCTTGATGAAAGGCTTTTCTACTTGGGACACTTTAGCTTGCTGCACACACCCAAGCATTGTCATGGGTCGATTTTAGGATACCCTCCCCTAATAGCTTTATCACCAGCCCAGCTGAAACTGCTTCCTTTCCTGTGCCAGGTGCAGGTGTTCCCATCTATGAGTCAGAGCCCCTGGTTCCCAGTTATGACTACTTCATGCCCTAAGACCCTCAGCTCTTTCTTGAAACAGCACTTCAGAAAGGCCTAGAGCCGGGTAGAGCTGGGTATATGGCCCAGTCTCTCCACTTCCCAGCCTGCTTCCTCATCTGAGAAAGGGTATCCCCGTGGAAATGACCATCCAAGTGCTATCTGTGGTGGCACGTGCTCAACACCCTGAATAAATGAAGGAGGGGAGGCTGCATGCCTCTGAAGGCTTGTGGCAGGGGGTGGCTTACTCCCTCCTGATGAGTTTTCCCAGTACCCTTTGGGAAGGAGGCTGTTGTGGTCACATGGGGATTGCCCATCTTACAGCGAAGGCTGGGAGCAGAATGGCCTTTATGAGTTCTTCCGAGCAAAAATGCGGGCCCGACGGCGGAAAGGCCAGGAAAAGAGGAACAGGTAAGGGCATCCCCACTGAATTGTGTGGTCGTCATGTCTCCCTGGCTGTGTCTTGCCAAATACACTGTTCTGTCACACCCTAACATGTCATATCATGCCCCCAACACAATGTCATACCTGAACATATGACATCACCCCTATACATAGGCAGAAGTAGTCAGGTCTAGCCTCTGCCTGGTTCTTGAGTCTGGTCCCCTATGGTAAAGGCGCAGGGAGCTGTTCCCACAATCCTGGGTTAAAACTTAAAACACCAGCACAAGAGAAGTTTGCTGGGGTCTGTATTCACCAAGCTGTTTAGGAATGCAACACGCTGGGGTGAATGGCATGTCTGTACCCCCACATGCACCCCTGGGGTCTTTTGAAATCTGGAGTAGGGGTGGTAGGCTCAGCCTATGTGAGAACTGGGAGGTGCCAGCTCCAGCTCACCAGCTTCTCCTTGCAGTGGACCCTCACGGTCTCGGAGCAGATCCAAAAGCCGAGGGCGCTCCTCCTCTCGCTCCAACTCGAGGTCTTCCAAGTCATCTGGCTCATACTCGAGGTCACGGTCACGCTCCTGCTCTCGTTCCCACTCCTACTCCCGTTCCCGCTCCAGGTAGGCAGGTACCACCTCTCGGATTTGCACCTGAGGTTTTGTGGCTGCCAGCTGACCCACAGGGCTCTCTCCTCTCCCCCAACAGGAGCCGTAGCCGATCCCGCTCCTCAAGAAGCCGCTCGAGGTCCCGCTCCCGCTCCAGGTCCAAGTCATACTCCCCAGGGAGAAGACGTCGGTCGCGGTCCAGGAGCCCCACTCCGCCGTAAGATTTCTGTCTTAACTGTCCAGTGACCCGCTGGTAGCACTGGAACCTCTGAGGTTTTACTGTGAATGTTGAAATGTGTCATTAGAAGACATGCTTGCGGCGGCCTGTGCTGGGGCGGTGCCTCAGGGACACCCAAGCACTAGCATGGTGACAGTGGCACCTCCTTGTCTCACATCGTGGTCTTACCTTTTTGTGGTCATGTTGTAAAGCCTGAGGTGGTGGCTGGGTTCTGTTTCTAACCGTTTTAGGGGTTTGGTGTGACTCACCCTTGCTGTACAGTGTGGAGCAGGGGCGATCATCTTTAGGGAGTCCCCTTATCTGGCTGGCGAAGAGGATGAAGAATGGTAGGGACACAAGTGTGTGTGTCCATCCTACACTGTGACTGTTCACATAAGCCACACCCTGTAATATTCTAAGTTTTCATTCCAATAAATGTACCTGCTCTTTTTTAAAAGACGTAACCTGTCTTAATTTTAGTTCCTCGGCCGGTCTGGGTTCTAATTCAGCACCTCCTATACCTGACTCCAGGCTTGGGGAAGAGAACAAAGGCCATCAGATGCTGGTGAAAATGGGTAAGGTTCTGGGGAAGAACAACTTGCTCTGGGCTTTGGGGTTGGGAATGATGGAGTCAGAGGAAGTTCGACTCACCACCATATCTTGGAAAAAGGGCAAGCCTGCAGGGTTCTGCTGGGCATTCTTTATCAGCTTTGTGTTTATAAACAGCATTTATGCATGTTATCTCCCCAAATGCAATCTTACTTAACTTTGTGTTGGGGTAAAGGCACCAGATTGCAGTTTTTGTAAGTTGTAACCACTCGCCCCTCTTTCTTCCTAAGGCTGGAGTGGATCTGGCGGCCTCGGCGTGAAAGAGCAAGGGATCCAGGACCCCATCAAGGGGGGGGACGTGCGGGATAAGTGGGACCAGTACAAGGGTGTGGGCGTGGCCCTGGATGACCCCTACGAGAACTACCGCAGGAACAAAAGCTACTCCTTCATCGCCCGCATGAAGGCCAGGGACGAGTGCAAGTAGGTGTGGTGAGGAACCATGCCACCCGCCGGCAGCTTGGCAGTTGGGACCTTCCTGGCTTATTGGCTGTGGAAGATGGTAGGAACAGTTTGGTTCTCACATAGCCTCCAACTTTGGAGAGCGACAGAAAAGGAGGACAGCCACAGCATACCTAGTGATCAGTGCCATGCTCTGCTGAGGGAGGCACAGGCCCCACCTGCAAACCAGCTCTCACATCAAAGCAAGATTCACATGAGAAGACACCCTGAACTCATTCCCTGGACAGTGAAGCAAGAAACATGAGTCCCTTACCCCCTGGACAAGAGTCGTTGACACCGGAAGGAATGGATGTTTTATATCCCCCCAGTCAGATGTGAGTCTCCGCTTAAATCAGCAGGCGTGTATGGAGGCGGCCTTGGGTGAGCACACCAGACGCCCGGACTAGGGGTGCAGCGAGCTAGCTCTACAACCTGCACCTACCATATATGCCGTGACAAAGCTCAGGCCAGGCACTAGTACTGCTCACTCTTTAAAAATGGAAAAACAAAACCTTGATTTGCAACTTTAAACAGGGTTTTCATTTTTACTCCAAATGGTTTAGTTTTTAAAAAAATATTGATGTAAGATGATCCCCAGTGAGATCATTTGAAACTTGATTTCTCCAAGACATACTGGCCCTTAGTTATTTTAGTTAAGTTGAATTTTTTTTTTTAAATGTTAGCCATTTGCTGTTATCTCCAGAAACAAAAGGATCTGAGGAGATGGATCTGAGAAAGCTTTAGGTCACAGAATGATGCCCACAGAAGATCTGTGCCCTTAGTGTCTACTTGTGTTTTTCACTTAAAGGAACCCCAACACCAGCACTTGTGTGCGATAGTCCATTCAGACCCAGTGTGGGGAGGAGCCACAGGCCATGCCTCCTGCTCTGTCACTTCCTTTTCCTACCCACCCACCTCCAACCACAGGGAGGTGAGACCTGGAGGGAGCCACAGGGTACCACACCAGGATCGGCTGTACTTGGCATCTTCAGACAGTGGGGTGCGGTGCCGTTTATTTGTACAGAAACATTTTTGAAAAATTCTTTTCGATAAGATGCAAAACCCTCCAATTTTTCAACTTGATGTGATAAAATATTTGATTTTGTTCTAGGTTTCCTGTAGCTGTGAATTGTTTAAATGCGTCTGATTCAGGATAAAGCATAAACATGTGCTGTTAACAATTTCTTGTGAGTTTTACTGTTTTGCCTTCAAATAAAGATAAAGACTTTTTCATAAAGACCTTTTTTTCTGTGTTGACCTCAGAAGTGTGCTCAGACTCAGTAGGGAGGAGATGTGTGGACTTTGTCCAAGCTGTAGACTCAGGTCAGAAGCTATCTGGTGTCTCACACAGAGTTCCCCAGCATGGAACCCTGGTCCTGTGTCCTTGTTAGTGAACAGGACTTCTCGTCCCCCCATCTACCTCACCTCCTTAGGAAGCCAGTGCCTGACCAAGTGGAGCTATTCCATGGGGCTCCAGACAGGCTGGCAGCCTCTGTCTTGCCATGAGCGGTAGCATCTTCACCTAGGTTCTATTTTCATGGTCTGTGGTCTGTCGTCTTGGGTGCTGATCACGCTGAAGAGGTGGGGACTAGGAGGGTCAACTACTCAGAAAAGGTTGGAGCTGGGATTCCGCTCAGTTGAGTCCTGACTGCTACCTGTCCTCCCCCCCCCCCAATTAAATATACCCTGGGACACTAATGTGTCACAGCTAGAATACTGGACCAAAACCGTGAGTCTGTCCTTACCTGGCGTTCACAGCTCCTCCTCCACCTCCTTCAGAGCATCCTCCAGGGTCAGTGGGGCGGGCCTGTGGTGCCTGATGTACTGTGGGGCAGAGGAAAGACAAGGACATGTCACCACCATGCCTTAGCCTACTAGGGCTTTGGGTGCTGAAGACCGTGCCTGTCCCCAGCAGTTCCTGGTCAGACTGACAAAAGAAAAATGACAGGATGCCATGTGATAATGCTGTGGAAACAAGGAGAGAGGAGCCCTGGCTGACTGGCTGAGTGAAAGGATGGTGACTGCAGTCGGGAAGAAGGGCCTGGGTGCCACTTTCAGGACATGGGCCTAGAGTAGGCAGTGAGGAGCCATGGTGGGCTATAGGCAGGCAATGTGATCAGATCACTTCAGCCTGCATCCCAGTCAACTGACAGAAATCCAACAGAGGAACAAACGGGATCCCACAGGATGTAATCAGCAAAGTCCAGAATGTGGGAGACTGTCAGACAACCTGTTTTCTTCAACAAACTGCAAGAAAAAAGAGATGGAAGGGGGGCGGGAGATCTCTAGAACATCGGTTCTTAAAGTGGGTCCCCAGTGGACCTGAGACAAATGGAAATCTAAACCCTGGATAGCCAATGATACAAAGAAGTTAATTGGGTTTTGGTATGATGATACTGTGACTGTTTTTTAAAAGTCATTATTTTTTAGAAATACATACTGCAATATTGGTACATAAAATGATTTTTAAAAATGCAGAACAGTTCATATGCCATTTCTATAAAGAAACATACATATTATATATACTTAATGCATTGTAATGTTTTATATGTTGTGCAATATTTAATTTGTACATAAAATAGTTCATATTTTACATAAGAAATGTAAAGAATACATCAAACTGGTAATAGTTACCTCTGAAATCACAGAGGACTTTCTTTATAAGTTACATCTCTCTGTAACTATTTTTATAAAATAACATTTTGTATAATCAGACAACAGTTAAATTTTTAGAGGGAAAAAGAGGTGAGTGTAACATCCCTTGAGCTTCAGCCTATGGGACTGAGAAGAGACATCACGGCTGGGTGGCTCTGGAGAAGAGTCTATGGAGGGACAGCACCCCTCACCAAGGAGATCACATTTGGTCTGAGGTCACTCAGAGCTGTGCCAGCTTCCATGCACGCCAGGCTGGTTGTCAGCATCCCCCTCCCCACACTGCCTCTTGTCATGGACAAGGAGAGAACAGGTTCCTTCCAACAGAACAAGGTGACTGGGCCCAAGCATCCCTGCTGCCCTGGGCTTAGTGCTGTCCCCATGATCAGAGCTCTGCCTGCCCTCCCTATCCCAGGAAGGGGTAGCCGTGCTGCAGTCACCTTTTTGGTTTCCTCCAGGGTGTGGTAGTGGAACGAGTCTTGATCCAGGGACTGCAGGAGGGACGCATGTAGGTGCCGGCTTGCCTCGATGAACTGCTGTGTCAGGCTTAGCTGCTGCTTAAGCATGTCATTGAGTGCGAACACAGTCGGGCTGTAAGCTGTCAGGGCTGACCCCAGTACCAAGTTACTGAGCAGCTCCTGGTTCCTGTCCCCCAAACAGTATCCTCATCCTATCAGTGTCCACTGCTCTGGGTCCAGGTGCTCTGCAGCCCCCACCCCTCCGGCTATGTCGCGACGACACTTTCCAGAAGTGATGCCACCTTGGGAAGTAGTAAAGGCCTCATCTATTCAGTGTCTGTCTCTAATAAAGTAACTGCCTTCTACTGACATGTGTGAACCTCTGAGCTGCATGTCTATGATGCTCAGCTCTTAGGCAGAAACAGAAGTCCACCTCCACATCCAACACAAAGAAAGGTTAGTAAACTGACACCCAAAATGTGCAACTGCACAATGTGAATATAACACTACTGAACTGTACATTTAAAAATGGGAAAGAGTAAATCTGATATTACACATTTTTTAAACGTATAATTAAAATAAAAATTTTAATTTTAATTAAATAAAAATACAATTAGAAATAAAAACTGCCAGTGTTAAAATGATCATTATTGCCCAGCAGGCATGTCTCAGCAGTTGAGCATTGACCTAGGATCCAGGAGATGGAGGTTCGATTCCCGGTCAGGGCACATGTCCGAGTTTTGGGCTCAGTCCCCAGCAAGGGGCGTGCAGAAGGCAGCTGATCCATGACTTGCTCATCATTAATGTTTCTATCTCTCCCTCTCTCTTCCTCCCTTCCTCTTTCTATTTGATGGGGTCAAAGAAGCCAAAAATAAATTAATTAAATACCCCTGTTGGATAGAAAGGCTTAGAAGTGTGTTACTTATAACCCTCTTCTGTCCAACATGTGCCCTTCGGCAAGACAGACTGATGAAGGTTCTTGGACACCCAGTCTGTCGTCTGGGATCCTAGGAACTATAGCTGCTGCCTGTGGCTGTGAAAATCCTCACCAACGGATTCCTCAAACCCAGCGCTAAAGCAGGAGCCACACTTCAAATGATGAGTGTGAATTTGCAAATAAAATGCATCCACTTCGCTGCAAGGACCCTCCCAAGTTGTTACCTTCTATTGCATCTGCGCTGACGACATGACTGGCAATGGGTGCAGGGTCCACGTAGGCACCTCCTAGGGCTTGCCCAGTGGTCGCCATGCCAGCCTCTGTCCCAAGGAAAAAGGAGAAGGGGGTGAGTAGTGGGATTTGCAGTAATGGATGCTGTATGGCTAAGCCCCCAATCTAAATGAACTGGTCCAGGAGACTTATACACCCTTGCACAGTCCAGGAACAAGCTCTGTCTATGTTGTGGATGTCCTTTAGATGAGACAAGGGAACAAGACAATGTTTAAAGGAAAGGGAACTTTTTGCCCTGGCTGGGGTTGCAGGTTCAATTCCTGGTCAAGGGCACATACCTGGGTTGTGGGTTCAGCCCTTGGCCCCTGTTGGGGCGTGTGTGGGAGGCAACCAATCAACATTGATGTGTCTCACATCAATGTTTCTCTCCCTCCCTTCCCCCTCCCTCCCTTCCACTCTCTCTAAAATCAATGGAAAAATATCCTTGGGTGAGGATTAACAATAACAACATAAAGACGAAAGGGAACCTTCTATCTGGAAGGGCCATGGCTCACACTGGAGACAAGAGAAATATCTGGAAAGTCACAATGGGCATGATGAGAAGGGCCCCTACACCACAGAAGAGAATCTACCCAAACACAATGAATTGAGACAATCACCTAGTGCAGCCCTCAGAGACCCTGCACTGGGCCCCATAAGCTGCTTGAAGATGCATGTCCCAGAGGGCAATTTCTGTCTCAGTGCTGCTCCCCAGGCCCACCCTGGGCATCAGTGACCATCTGGGGCCACCACTCTGGTGGAGCCATCCTGGGCACTGAAGGATGTTGAACAGCATACCTGTCCTCCACCCACTAGACTATCACACAGTTGTCACAGCCAAAAATGGCTCCAGACCTTGCCAATGTCCCCAGCAGTTGAGAAGCACAGCCTTAGTCTTTTATTCTGGAAACTTTCATAATTCTTGAAAGCTCAGAAGAAAAGGAAACACCCAGGACAGCTGCCCCTCATCTGTGGAAGAGGAAACCAGGGAACTGAGGTCTCCCCAACTAGTTAATAACGGTAGCCAGACCTCCAGACACTGAAGCTCCTTGTCACACTTCCGAGGACGCCCACAGTGCACAGCCTGAGAGCCTGTGCCACTGCCACCATGGCCTGCACCTCCCTCCTCGGGCACTGGGGCCACACACTTACCCTTCATCCACTGGTAGGTGAAGGCGGGGTCAAGGGTCTGCACAGCCTTCTCCTTCACCAGGACTCTTGTAACATCCCGCGCCCACTTTTTCCGAGATGCACATGTTGGTGGGGGATGGTCTGTCTTCAGGCTTACAGAGAGTTCAGACAAAGTGGCCAACGTCCTGTCCGGAGACTCCTCAGAATGGGTCACTGGCTCTGATGCTGTCAGAGTTGGGGATTTCTCGAAATCTTCTGAATAAGCCAAACTCACCATGCTGGTTATAGGTGCCTCAGACGTCGGCCTCAGGCTGGAAGCATGCTGGGGCTCAGCAGAGGAGGCTGATGGCTCGCTCAGGTGCTCCGAGACCTCACTTCCAGTTGGGGGGCCCCTGGCCCAGGGACTTTTGCTGGATGCCTTTTGTCTCTGACCTCCTTTCTGAAATAAAGGACAGCAGAGAGAACTGTAAAGTGTTTCAAACGATGAACAAGCTCCAAATACCACGGCTTTAGAATGGGGTACAGGGTACCCCTGGGAGCCCAGCAGGTGAGAGTCCACACTGGTCCTTCATTAGATTTGGACAGTGGGATTCTTGAAATGCTTCAGCAGAGAGCTGCTGCACTTAACACTGATGGTTTCAGTATATAAGGGGAGCACATGAGTGAAATCTGTTGAAGTGTCATTATTGTGTATTATTAAAACATGCCTTTGATAGTGAGGTGGTCACTAATATGCCAAGAATCACAATGCGTCACTGGAACAAGTCAGGCAGGTGTTGCTATGGGGTGGTTTAAATGGGACCCGCTTTAATTGTCTACTATATTAAGTAACTTCATCCTGTTATCACCTAAGTCAGGGTCTCTCCTGTGGCACTCGACATGACACCTGAACCTTCTTTGCAGGGCACTGAGCAGCATCTACCCTAGCAGCCACTAACTCAATGCCAGTAGCGCACCCCACCCAGTCATGGCAACCAAAAAATGTTTCCAGACATCACAAAGTGTCCCCTGGGGGCAGAATCAACCCCAGTTAAAAACTGCTGACCTAAATGAAGTGTAACAGTTGCAAGCTTTTCTATGTAATGGCCTACAATGAAAAATTAGATAGTTGTACTTACTCTCTGTTCCAAGTCTAATTTCTTATTGACAGCTGGCGCCAGATCATCAAGGGATAAAATATTTATTCTAAAATCTGTAATTAAAAATGTAACATGATAATATTTACTCATTTATTTGCTCCATAAATGTAGGCACTGGGCTAAGCACTAGAGATTGAAAGATGGGAAGGCATGCCATCCCTGTGCTGAGTAAGCTAGTCCAGGGGGTCTGCACACTTTTTCTCTAAAGAGCTGGATAGTAAATATTTTTGTCTTTGAAAGCTAGGCTGTTTCTTCTGTCCCAAATACTCAGCTCTGTCCTTAGTGTGTGAACTCCACTATGATCAAGGATGTAAATAAATGTGTGTGGTTGTGTTCTGTTAAAAATTTATTTATCCTCTCGGGTCCTGGTTTAGATGGATGAGCAAACAATCACAATGCAATGAAGGATGCAGGGGGACTAGTGTGCTTGAAGTATGAAGGGTGGGAGGGGCACCCCAGCCTCTGGGGGAGATGGAAAGAAGGCTGCAGGGCCTAGTGGAGTGGCACCTCAGGCAAATGTGAGACTGGGCCTGAGGCATCCTATGTTTTCATTTAAAGCAAGTTAAGGACATGGGAGCTGATACTGACTGAGCATTTTGGCACTCCAGCTGGCCAACTGCCAAGGCCTGATGATGTGGGTGCTAAGAACTATTAGTAGGAACAGATGGGAGCAGGGCGTCTGAGCAGGAGGCAAGAGCTGGAGGTGGGAAGGGAAGATAAAGCTACCCATTCTCTCTGGAAAGGCCAGCTAAGGGGCTGTGCTCTATGCCCTTCTCCACCCACCCAGCAAAAGACCAGATCCAATCCAGCCTGTCATTCTAGTCTGAGGGCTCGCCCCCTCCTCCAAGCTCCTCTAACACTAATCGTCATCTCAATTCACATGGCAAGTAGGTCCAAACATGTGTTCGTGGACAAAATGTTAAATAATGTGGAAATAATGGAAATGTTTAATTGTGACTGGTTAGAGACTTTTCTTTCTTTTCCAAATTTAAAAAGGAAAGGAGGCAAATTTCTCTTTTACAAAAAGAAAAATTGAGTTGCCTTTCTTTTGCACATGGCTCTAGGATGATTTCTAGGAGGATTTGTAATTGGTCAGGGTTACTGACCAATGAAGAGATTATAAAGACAGAACAGCCCTGGCCAGTGTGGCTCAGTTGGCTGAGCGTCGTCCCATGCACCAAAAGGTCACCGGTTTGATTTCCGGTCAGGGCACATACCCAGGTTTCAGGTTAGTCCCTGGATGGGATTCATACAGAGGCAGCTGATCAATGTTTCTCTCTCACTTCAATGTTTCTCCCTCTCCCTTTCTCTCTCTCTAATAATCAATAAAAACATACTTTAAAAAAAAAAAAAGACAGAAAATCTGACTTGGCCCCTCAACCAGGAAAGGAGTTGAGGCCGTGACAAGGCCTATAATGTATTCCATGTGACAATAGCCTGTGACCACCATACTGGGGGCCCTAAAGGCAGCCTCACCCTTTCTGCCCAGGGTGACACCTTTGCAAAGGGCTATGGGTTACCATTTAGGCTGCTGTCAGAGGCTTCTGAGAGTGACTCCTCCCCAGGCCCAGCCTCACTCCTTACGGGAGAGGATGAGAACCTGCCATGTGCCATCATCGAGGGCACTGACTTTGACACAGTGCTGGTGATAGAAAGCGATGACACCATGCTGGATGCTGTGTCCCCTGGAATGTGAGTCTGTGGGGAGTGAGCTTTTGAGCACACGCTGCGAAGAGTCCCGTCTGCTAATTGGAAGGTTGGCAGATGTGATGTCCCAAGTGGCTTTGGGCTGGAAAGTTCCTCATTGGGTAGTGAAAGAAGTTTTGGTTGATTTGGGATCTGATCCAACTTTGGCGGAAATAAAAGAAACAAAATTATCAAACCTGTCATAAATAAGTCCTTATCATTTGACAATGTGGCCAGTAGGGTGCATGAGACCAAGGCTTCCTGGATCAGATATTTATCCCTCAGTGGCCCTTTCTCTCCTCTCCCCTCCTTTCTGGAAGTCAAGGTACAACATTTAGACAAGATAATATTGGAATTAGAAATACTCCACAAATAATCAGAAATATCACTCTGCCTCAAGTACATATTGTTAATTACACATTTCTAAATGAAGGCCCCTGAGTACATGATCTATCACAGCTTGGACCTTCAACAGAACCAAAATGAATTTGCAGACTTCCCAATACTTAGCATCCACTAGGATAGCTATAATCAAAAAACAGAAAATAAGTATTGGCGAGGATGTGGAGAAATTGGAACCCTCATACACTGTTGGTGGGAATGTAAAATGGTGCAGCCGCTGTGGAAAACAGTTTCACTAGTCATCAATAAGTTACACATAAAATTACTGTAGGACCCACTTATTCCACTCAGAGCTATATACCCAAAAGAACAGAAAACAGAGGCTCAGATACTGGTACACAAATGCTCATAGCAAAAGGATTCACAATGCCCAAAAGGTAGAAACAACCCAACTACCCATTAATGGGTTAATGGATAAATAAGATGTCATCCATCCACACAGTGGAATATTATTTGGTCGTGAAAAGGAGTGAAGCACTGACACATACTACAATGTAGATGAACCAGACACAAAAGGCCACATTGTTGTATGATTCCATTTATATGAAATGTCCAGGACAGACAAATCCATAAACAAAAAGCAGATTAGTGGTTGCCAGGGGCTGAGGAAGGAAGAAATGGGTAGTGATTATTTAATGGGTACAGGGTCTCCTTTGGGAATGATAAAAATGTTCTGGAACTAAATAGAGATGGTGGTTGCAAAACATAGTGAAAGTACTAAATGCCACTGAATTGTCCATTTGAAATTTTATGTGAATTTCATCTCAATAAAAAAATGGAAATACATCCTTCCCAAGTTAATGATTCCTGTGTGGTACAAATGACAAGTAGGCGTGGACTGCCTATGGCATTAATCACTGCCAATGTTCATTCAGTCATACAAAGTGCTGTCCTGTGGTGTACACAGTTACAAGTTATTGCAAAACTGCCTAATGTGTCCCAAATTCCATCCCCTACAGAGCAGACCCACCCACAATAGGGAGCTGTGACTGTCTGAAACCCAACCTTTTCCCGTCAAACCCCTTTCTCAGGTAGCTTCTGGGTGACGGCTGCTATTAAAAGTCGCTAGGACTATGACATATAGGTCAAAATGCAAAGGCTTTGTTGAAAATAAATACATGCAAATCTTACCGAAAATAGTTCCATTTGTTCTTTCTCACTGACTCTGGTGCTGGTGAAACCCCGATTCGTGCATGTTTCTTTTTCTCTAAAAGATTCCATCAAGCTTCCCAGCAACTCTTTCATTTCCTCTTCATCACTGTCTAGAGAATCCAATTTTCTAGTAGGTTTTTTCTCTTTGGGTATTGAAAAATGCCTCTCTTTCTCAAAATGGGCTTCAGGGGATAGCTTTTCAACAGGTGGCTCTCTCTTCTTTAGAAACCTACTGACCTTCCCACCTGGCGTGTTGCTCTCAGTGACAGAAACTTCATGGGTCTGCTTCTGGGAGGTTTTGTCTATATTCTGTGAAGAAAGTTTAACTGCAGTCCTAGGAAGAATTTTGTCTGCTCTCCTGGGAAGACTGTCCTTGGAGGTCTTCGGGTTGGATTCCATGTCAGGCAAGTCCATCTGTACCTTCCGATTCATGATCTTGGATTCGATCTGAGCCAGCTTCCTAAGCGCGGCACTGGTCCTGAGCTTTGAGGCAGTGGTCAGGGGCCTACCTGAGGACAGCCAGGACCCACTCCCCAGGCCAGCATCCTCTTTCGGGAATAAGTGTTTTTCACCCATAGTTTGGCTTCTTTTTAGAAATCTGCTATGACTGGGAGCTATTTCAGTAAGATTCCTACTGATTTTCAAGTTTTTTATTTTTTCCATCTTTGAATCTTCTAAGGAAGTATCACTGAAATCCCCAAAGATATCATGCATGGGATGGCTGTTTGTTCCTGTTGAAGCCATTCTAGGGAGGAAAGAAAACTTATAATAAGAATACCTGGTGTTCATATCATGCATTCAAATCTCTCAGTGTCTCCTACCACCCCTGGAGAGATCAAATCCCCCTTTGCAGTCTGGCCAGACAGAGCCTTCCCTTCAAGCCCGATGATGACAAGGAAAATGACAGACACTTGGTACCATTTAAGGAATTACCATTTAATGCCAGGTCTTAAATGAAACATATATATATGAAACACAAGAGCCAGCACTTCTCAGGTTCCGGCAGTGTACCAAGCACTCTGCTCAAAGCTACTTTATCTCATTTAATCCGCATGCAACCCTGTGAGTCAGTTATTGTCACCCCTCTCCCCCCTTTCACACAGGAAGTAGAGGAAACAAAAGCCCCACAGGTTAGGTCACCAGCCAAGGTTGCCTGGTGGGTGAGCACCTGAGCCAAATTCAAAGCTTTACTGCTTTGCCAGTTATTCCCCCTCTACTCTGAGTGAATCCTGTTCCCCAGCTACACCCAAGTTGGGGCTCCTCTCTTATCCATCCTCAACTCTCTAACACAGTGCTGTTAAACACAATCTGGCCCTGGCTGGGTGGCTTAGTTGGTTGGAGCATTGTCCCATACCACCAAGAAGGTTGCAGTTGCAATTCCTGGTCCAGGCACATACGTTGCAAGTTCAATCCCCGGTTGGGCACGTGTGGGAGGCAACTGATCGATCTTTCCCCCTCACATCAATATTTCTCCCTCTCCCTTCCTTCCTCTCTAAAAATCAGTAAAAACGTATCTCCTGGTGAGGATTATAAAAAACACACACACATAATCTGTGTATTTGAGCTCCCCAGGAAAATCTTATTTCACTTAAAGTATGAGAACCACCGCCCCGGAAAGAGAGGAAAGCTATGGACAGACAGAGCACCTCCCCACCAAATGTCAGCCATATGCTCTGTGCACATGCTGGTGTACATTTTTCTGAGAAGTACCAGAGCTTTCATCATATTCTGAAGTTCCTGTGTGCTGCTGAAGAACAGGAACGGCCGACTGCAAGATACACAAAGGTTTCAAAAGATTTCAAAGACGTAAAAAGGTGGAGAAATATGGTGTGGGTGGGTGTGTATTTGCTGCAGCCCTTTAGTGAGAAACTCAGCAACAGCAATGAAAATGTGAACTACACAGATCTCATGACCCGATAATTCCACGTCTGGGAATTTACCTACAATTACATTCTCAAATGCAAAGAGACATATATTCAGGGAATGTCACAGCAGCACTGTTTGTACTCATAAAAACCCAAACTCATTCATGGAGACCTGGTAAAGTCCAGGAGATGGCATTCAGGTGATACAATACAGACATTAAAAGGAATGGGGGGGCGGGGGATGAGGGAGATCTGTATGCATAATAATGTCTCCAGCATAATAATATGTGAGGCAGAAAAGACAAGATGTGGAACCATGTGTTGTCTCCATACTGTGCTGAACCAACATCAACAACTATATATTACCATTTTTGTAGGTGAGTCTCAGGAGGTGACTCAGCCCAGGCCATTCTGTGGGTCAGAGGGGAGGCCCCACCACCAGGCCAGGTTTTCTGGCATCTAGTTCTTCTGAAATTTTCCCTAGGTTTAAAAATAAACCAGTGGTGCCTGGCCAGTGTGGCTCAGCGGTTAAGCATAGACCCATGATCCAGCAGATCCCGGCTGGATTTCTGATTAGGGCATATGCCTGGGTTGTGGGCTGGATCCCCAGTGGGGGGCATGCAAGAGGCAGCCGATCAATGACTCTCTCATCACTGATTTTTCTTTTTTTTTTTTAAACATATCTTTATTGATTTCAGAGAGAGGAAAGGAGGGGGAGAGAGAGAGATAGAAACATCAATGATTATCGAGTCATTGATTGGCTGCCTAGCCAGCAACCCCGGCATGTGCCCTGACTGGGAATCGAACACCAATCTCCTGGATCCTAGGCAGATGCTCAACTGCTGAGCCACGCCTGGCTGGGCTCATCATTGATATTTCTATCTCTCTCTCTCCGTCTCTCTGAAATCAATAAAGATTATTTAAAAAATAAATAAAATAAACCAATGGAAAAATGGTTAAAGTGGCAAATTTTATGTTATGTACGTTACCACAACCAAAATAGACATTTAAAATACACACAACTAAAAATAAATCAATAGGCAAAGATCATGAACAGACATTTCTCCAAAGAGGCTACACAAATCATCATCAAGCCCATGAAAAGATGTTCAGCATCACTAGTCATTAGGATAATGTAAATCAAAACCACCATGAGATCCCACTTCACACCCACTAGGATGGCTATAACCAAAAAATATAGATATTAACAAGTATTGGTGAAGATGCAAAGAAACTGAAACCCTCACACACTGTTGGTTGTAAAATGGTGCAGTCATCAATTTAGAATATAGTCTAGTAGTTCCTCAAAAGGTTAACCATAGTTACCAAATGATCCAGCAATTCCACTCCACGTAACCCAAGATAAATAAAATATATGCAAATATTCATGTTATTATTCATAATAGACAAAAAGTGAAAACAACCCAACTGTCCATTAATTGAAGAACAGATGAGAACTGAGGTCCATTCATACAATGAAATACTATTGAGCAATAAGAAAGAACAAACACCAATACACATATTAGGAATACATCTCAAACACATTACAATAAGTGAAAGTAGCTAGATGCAAAACACCACACACTGTATGACTCCATTTATAAGGCCTGTCCAGAAAAGACAAACCTATAGACTCAGAAAGCACATCAGTAGTTGCCTGGGGCTGGGAGTGGGGGCGGGGATGGACTGCAAAGGAGCAAGAGGGATCTGTCTCCCTGAAGTGATGAAAAGTACTACAGCTGGATCGTGGTGATGGCTGCACCACTTGGTAAGTTTACTAAAAATAATGGACTTGTATACTTAAAAGGCATGAACTGTATGGTATGTAAATGAATCCCAATAAAATTGTTAAAAATAAAAACTTTGAAAACACTGACGCCCCTCAGAGCACCGGTGTCTTTCCCCAGACCTGGAGCGACCCACATCGGACCACACTCCCGAGTGGATCCAGACAGGGAAACCAGGGTTTGAGGCGCGGTGGGGGGCCGCCCTCCGCCGCCCTCCCAGCTCAGCGCCGGAGCTCGCCTCGTTTCCCCGCAACTCTCCTCCCAAGCCCCCTGCAGCCCACCCAAGCCTGCCAACCTCCGCCCAGGAGGTCCATCAGCGGAGGCCGAGGCCGCTATACTCCCCGCACTCAAACCTGAGAGGACCGTTGCCCTCGGCAACCGCGCGAGGACGAAAGAGACTCCCAGAGCGCCCTGCGCCCCTGAGGACCAATAGCGCCTCAGGTCACAATCGCGGGGTGTCTTGGGAGTAGCACAATCGCGTGTCGGGGACCGGCGATGCGGCAGATCATAATCGCGAGGTGTGACGGGAGTTGTAGTTCCGGGACGGGCCGGCTCGCCGCGGGGACCGCTGGGAGCAAAGGGGCGGTTACAAGCGGGCTCCGCGCACCTTCTATGGCCGTGGCTAGGGTTCTCCTCTGGTCCGTCTGTGTGTTGCGGGTGGCGCTGGCCACGGTCTACTTCCAGGAGGAGTTTCTAGACGGAGGTGCAGAGGCGACGCCCATGGTGGCGGGGGCGTAAGCTCCCCTATTCCCTGCTCCCCAACGGATGGCCCGAGTCACGTTTGGCCCCGGCCTATCGCCGAGGAGTGGGCTGTGGCGAAGCCTCGAGGGCCCCCTTCACCCTCCCTTGACCCAGATTAAGTTTTCAGCCCTAACCGGTGTTGTTTCCCCCCACAGAGCGCTGGAGGAACCGATGGGTGCAATCCTCTAATGACTCCCAATTTGGGCATTTTAGACGCTCGTCGGGGAAATTTTATGGCCATAAAGAGAAAGACAAAGGTTAGTTTAAGGTTCCTGAGAAAATGAAGCTAGATGTTAAATCCCCCATAGTGCCCTAGCCTGTTTGGCTCAGTGATTAGAGCGTCGGCCCGCGGGCTGAAGGGTCTGGGGTTCGATTTCCAGGGGCACGTCCATCGGTTACAGGCTCGATCCCAGCCCTGGTAGAGGTGCATACGGGAGGCAACCACTTGATGTTTCCCTCACATGGATTTTCTCTCTCTCTCCCCCACTCTCTCTGAAAAACAATGGTGAGGATTAAAAAATAAATTAAAATTTCCCCACAGCAATCTTTCAAGGTAGGTGTGGCTCACCCCAACACCTCTTACTCACAGGTGAGGAAACCAAGGCTTGTGTAGGGTCTGGCCTTAGTTTTTGTTCTCTCCTTTTTTTACTTGCCCAGAACTCACGGCTTTGTATGCACTACAGGGACCCCAGGGCCTTGACCTGCAGAGGGGAAAAAAAGAATATTTACCATATTTATTTTCACTTTAAGAAGGAAAGAGAACGAAGTAAAAGTTAAATGCTGTCAAGTGTGCAGATCTTAAGGGGTACAACAGGATGAATGTTTACATCTGTACATACTGGTAAAGCTAGGGATTTTCCGCCTCCCCCCCCCCAGGCCTTCCTTATACCCACCCTCCAAGTCAGTAGCCTTCTGGTTCCAAGGATAACCTCTGTTCTGGGTGCTTCTCATTCCTAATGATCAAAGGTGGGTAAGATACAGCTTGTCTACCAACTGTTTGCTTGCTTGCTTGCTCACTTGCTTTTTGTACAGCCAGCAAACTGAGAATGTTTTTTACACTTTTTAGTAAGGGGGAAAATAGGAAGGGGAATCGATTTTGTGACATGTAAAAATTATATAAAATTCATGAAATATATGAAATTTCAGTGTCTATAAATAAAGTTTCAGCGTCCATGATAAACACGGCCATGGTCATTTGTTTGCATATGGTCTGTATATCTGCTTTCATACTGCAAAGGCAGAATTGAGTAGTTGGGACATAGAGCAGATGGTGGACAAAATCTAAAATATTCTCTGGCCTTACAGAAAAAGTTTACTGACCCCTGATTTAGATGAAAAATTTACTTCTTCACCACCTTCCATTCAACCCTTATCTTGGCCCTGTTATTCCAATGTTGCTTTGTCTGGCAGCCTCTGGTTTTCAATTGTATGTGTGCTATTTGTTTGTTTGTTGTTGTTTTAAGGGAAAGCAAAAGTTTAATGAAGGAGAGACAAAAGCTCCTGCCACAGTATGTGCATTGTTTTATAAGTTACATGTTGACCCACAGAGTTGGTCAAAATTCAGGCTATATGACCAAAATGGAGTGAAGACAAACGTGATTCTGTGAAGCTTGTCCAAGGACAGGGGTTTCCACTTAGAGTTGCTTTGGTTTTTTCCACAATGCTTTTTCTTCCTCCAATCTGGAATCCCAAGATTCTGTGCATTTCATTCACTGCAGCACATGTCTACTGAGTGCAGACATGGGCAAAGCACTGAGGATACCAGTTAATTTGGTCCCTTCTGTTCTGGTCTCCTGGGACCATGACATAGAAGCCATTGCTGGAAAAATAAATAGAATTTAGACAGAGATAGAAGGTGGTAAGAGACCAGGGGATGGCTGAGGAGGGTGGTAAGACACAGAGGTTAATCATGGCCTTAGGAATTGCCTCAAGGGAAAGGGCTGAGAGAGCAGGAGGGCCTACAAATCTCCTGAGAAAGGTAAAGGTAAAGAAAGAATGGAGGACGCTAAGAGAGGTGTGGAGGAGGGAGTTCAGCCATGAGTTCAGTACGTATTAATGCAAATGCCAAATCCATTTATGATGACTGTCAGCATGGGCAGCTGCGCAGGCCAGAGTATATAGAGCAAGGAAGGGCAGGTTATGATAGGACTGGCTCTGTTTCCAGGTTTGTTTGACGGATTCCAGTATAAGATAAGGATTTGGTACAGAGCCTAGTGGCTACTGAAAAGGAGGGTTTTGGTCTTGAAGTGAACACCTAAACTTATAAAACAAATATGAGATAATTCACATGACAAAAGATGGTATCTTCATAAAAAGAGCCATCACACAGATGACACCCATGAGCCAGCTCACCCAGTGCAGTGAAGCACTTTTTTAGAGATCTGCACTCTGTCCTCCATCCGCTGTTGTGTCTCTTAAGTCACTATTTTAAGATGAGAATTAAGGAAAAGAAGTATAATGCTTTGTATTTTAATTCAGTTGCTACACAAGCTTCCTTGTATATCCCAATCCCTTGGAAGATGAATGGAAACAAAATTAACCTTTTATTTATAATTAGAATATATATTTGTCATTCAGAGCTGAAGTGTTTCTATAACCTAAGACATAACAGTGGTATATTAAGTACAAAAACACCTGAGTGTGTCAAAGAAATTCTGTGGCATCAGAGAACCTATTAGTGGCATGCCCATTGTATATTATTGTACAAGTGAGCTATAAGTGCTGGATGGATGTGAATGGCTAGGAGGTTTATAATTGGGAGTAAGGGAAAGACAATTGTTTAATTCCCTGCACCACTGAGCCACTGTGTCATTCCTAATCTTTCATGAGTGTTTTTTGTTTGAAGGTCTGCAAACCACTCAAAATGGCCGATTCTATGCCATTTCTGCACGGTTCAAACCATTTAGCAATAAAGGGAAGACGCTGGTCATTCAGTACACAGTGAAACATGAGCAGAAGATGGACTGTGGAGGTGGCTACATTAAGGTCTTCCCTGCAGATGTAGATCAGAAGAACCTGAGTGGAAAATCCCAGTACTATATTATGTTTGGTGAGTTCATGTAGTACAGTGCAACCATTTCTGGTGACTTTGAAAATCCTTCCACCTTGTAGAATCCTTAGACCAAGACTGCTAAAATGGTAGTATTGTGTATACCTGACCAAATGTTTTTAGTACTGTTAAACCTATTTAATATTATAAAAAGTCAACTGCACCATTCTGTTATACTTTTGAGTAAGTTATTTCTTTAACATTAATGTAGACCCAGGTATTCTGAATATATCAGGAATCAGAAAACATTTTCCATGGGCCAAATTGGGCCATAGCCAGTGTCTATTATGGCTCTTGTGCTGAAATGGGTTTTAACATTTTTGAATTAAAAAAATCTTTAAAAGGATAATATTTTGGACACATGCAAATAATATGAAACTTGTATTTCAGTGTCCAGAAATGAAGTCTTATTAGATGCAGCATCACTCAGTTCTTTCGCAGTTTGTCTAGAGCTGCTTTCAAACAGCAATGGCAGAGTTGAGTCATTGTAACAGAGACCATATGGCCCCCAAAGCCAAAAATACTGACTGTCTTGCCCCTTACAGAAAAAACATGCCAATTCTGGGATACATTAAATGTCTCCTGACACAAAGGGAACTTAATTAAAATTTGTGCTAGAATGGGAAGGGACCACATTGGGCCACAGAAACTAGACAGAACCAAAGCGAGAGATCAAAAAGCTTTAAGAATGAAGAGGATTAAAAAAAGACTGAAGAGGATTGCCCTAGCCAGTGGTTAGAGCATTGGCCCATGGACTGAAGGGTCTCGGGTTCAATTCCAGTCAAGGGCACATGCCTTAGTTGCAGGCTTGATCACCAGCCCCGGTCGGGCCACGTGCAGGAGGCAACCAATCGACGTGTCTTTCTCACATTGATGTTTCTGTCTCTCTCCCTTCACTCTCTCTGAAAAGCAATGGAAAAAATATCCTCAGGAGGGAATTAAAAAAAAAGAATGAAGAGGATTCTGGGAAGATGGCAGAGTAGGAAGAACCAGGAATCTGTCTCCCCACCTAGACAACAATTGTACTGGCAGAATCTGCCAGATTTAAATATTTTGGAACTCTAGCATCTGTGGAAGGATTGCAATTTACAGGGGAATACTAGGAAGGTTAATCTGAGTCCATTTTAGCCCTTAGCACAGTAGCATATACCCATCTCCCACCCCTAGCACAACAGCTGTGCAGGTGTTCCTGGAGCAGCTTACACACAGCTTGCAGGAACTAGGGTGGGCAAAAAGGACTCTGCCCTCCAAATATTTGATTTCTGAACTCTCATCACTGATTGGTACTTCTAATTACAAAGGTGCAGACGAAGAGATAGGCAGCCTTTTTTGTTGTACCTCCCCTCTCTATTGTAATCCTCTCCCCCTCCAGCTGAAGTGAATTCCAAGAGAAGTAAAAAGCACCAGTGCCCTTCCCCTCCACACTCCTTATTTTTTCCCTTCGGAAGCCAGACATGAAAGACTAGGACATTTAAAAAACTGCATATGCAGGGAAAATTAGAAAGTGACCACACACGCCCAGGGAAAGACTCAGAAAAGATGTGAGAAGACCTTAAGTTTATACCTCAGGCTGACCGGTGGCACAGAGATAGCCTGCAAAAATAAATAAACAAACCATAAGACATCAAACCCTAGGAAAGGAGTAGAATCTGATTTCCAGAGTCACCACATTATTAGATTCAAGTGTACTCAACAAATCACAAATAAAAACAAATAGGAAAGTGTGGCTCATTGAAAGGAAAAAAATAAATCAACATAAACTGTTCCTGAAAAAGATGTTCCTGATGGCAGATCTGTTAGACAAAGACTTAAATAACTGAAAGATGCTGGAAAAAAAGGAAAAAAAAAAAAAATCTAAAGGACGATGTGGATAAAGTTAAGAAAATGCGTGTGAATAAATGGAAATAACAAAAGGATATAGAAAACCTAAAGTGGAATTCTGGAGCTGAAAAGTATAACTGAAATGAAAACAAATCACTAGAGAGGATCAAAGGCAGATTTGAATGGGCAAAAGAAAGAATCAGCAAACTTGAAGATAGGACAGTGGAAATAATCAAGACTGAGGAACAGAAAGAAAAAAGATTGAATCTTAAGATTACCTGCAGGTTTCTCAACAGGAACTTTGGAGGCCAGAACACGGTGGGCTGATAGATTCAAAGTGCTAAAAGAAGCAAACTGTCGTCCTGGCCAGTGTGACTCAGTTGGTTGAGTGTCGTCCTGTGCACCAAAAGGTTGCTGGTTTGATTCTTGATCCAGGTTGTGGGTTCAATCCCCAGTTGGGGTACATGTGGAGGCAGCTGGTCGATGTTCCTCTCTCCCCCTCCCTTCCTCTCTCTCTAAAGTCAATAAAAACATTTTTTAAAAGGAGGAAGAAGCAAACTGCCAACCAAGAATTGTATTTGGCAAAACCATGAGAGAAAGCAAGACATTTCCGAATACACAAAAGCTGAGGGAGTTCATGACCACTACTCTTGCGTTGCAAGAAATGCTCAAGGGGGTCCTACAAGGTGAAATGAAAGGACAAAGGGCAGTAACCAATCCTGCTCAAACTTTTCTAAAAAAACTAAGTGGAAGAGAGACTTCCTAACTCATTCAATGAAGCCAGCATTACCCTGATACCAAAACCAGACAAAGATACTATAAGAAAAATATAGAACAATAGCTTTTATGAACATTGATGCAAAAAATCCTCAATAAAATACTAGTAAACAGAATTCAGTAGCATGTTAAAAGGATTATATGTACACCATGACCTACCAACACTTATTCCTGGATTGCAGGGATGGTTCAACATACTAAAATTGGTCACGTAATATGCCACATCAACGGAATGAAGGGGGAAAAACAGGATCCTCACAATTGATGCAGAAAAAGCATTTGATAAAATTCAATACCCTTTTATGATCAAAAACAAAACAAAAAACCCAACTAGGATTAATAGGAAACTACCTCAACATAATGAAAGTCACGTGAAAACCCCACAGCAAACATCATACTCAGTAGTGAGAGTGAAAGTTTTTCCTCTAAGACTAGGAACAAGGCAAGGATGTTCTCTTTCACCACTTTTACTCAACACACTACTGAAAGTTCTAGTCAGAGCATTTGGGCAAGAAAAAGAAATAAAGGCATCCAAACTGGAAAGAAAGAAGTAAAATCTTTGTTTGCAGATGATACAATCTTATATGTAGGAAACCCTAAAGATTGCACCCAAAAAACAACTATTAGAACTAATAAATGAATTCAGCAAAGTAGCAGGATTCAAAAGTCAACATGCAAAACAACAGTTGCATTTCTTTATACAAACAATGAATCATCTGAAAAAGAAATTAGAAAAACAGTTTTACAAAGGCTTGTACAATGAAAACTACAAAATATTGCTGAAAGAAATTAAATGGAAACACGTCCCACTTTTATGGATTGGAAGACTTAATATTGTTAAAATGTCAATACTACCCAAAGCTATCTACAGATTCAAGTCTAATCCCTATCAAAATTCCAATTTTTTTTTTTTTTGCAGAAATTGAAAAACCCATCCTAAAATTCATACAAAACCTCAAGGGACTCTGAATAGCTAAAACAATCTTGAAAAAGAAGAACAACACGAGGATTTAGCCCATGCCCATGTCCATGGTTGGATGAATGAATAAACAAAACAAAGTGGGGTATATTCTTACAGTGGAATATATTCAGCCTTAAAAAGGAAGGAAATTCTTGAGGGACATCTGTAATAGTGTCAACAATAAAAAACAAAAATTTAAAAAGGAAGGAAAGTCTGATAGACCACACATTTTATGATTCCACTTCATGAGTTACTTAGATTAGTCAAGGGCATAGAGACAGAATGCAGGAGGATGGTGGCTGTCAGGGGCAGGGGAGGGGAGAATGGAGAGCTAGTGTTTAGTGGAGATAGAGTATTAGTTTTATAAGATGGAAAAAGAGTTGTGGAGAGAGAACAGTGGTGATGGCTGGACAACAATGTGAATGTATTTAATACCACTGATCTGTATACGTAAAAATGCTTTAGATGGTAAATCTTTTGTGTTTTACCACAACAAAAAAGGTGTGTGTGGGGGAGCTTTAAAAATGAAAAATTATTTTAAAAATAACCATCCACAATCCAAATTTGGGAACTTATTCTTTAAAATTATTTTCCCTCATCCAACACGTTTGTCTTGCAGAATTTTTATTCCTCACAGCTTTGCCATGCTTATGTCTGAATTCATGACAATCCGCATCAGGCTTCAGACACTTGGCTATGCTGGTCTTATATTCATATATACAACAGGTCACAGTATCATTGTAGAAGTAGGAAGAATATATTACTTATATTTTATTAGATATTAGATCACTTATTAGATTTAGATATAACTCTGCTCTGTCATTTTGGAGAGCAAGATGACTTTTCCAGGGACATAGCATTTAATACATTCAAAGTTTCCATGGATTGCAGTCTCTAACTCCCCTCCCAGAATTCTCTCTTCTCTGCCATGCCTTGCATTTAATCTTTAATTTAAAATGTAGAATGGAAAAAGTCTTTATTTTGATGAAAAAAGAAATTGCAATGTCTTGATTTTGGTTATTGTTACTCTCTTAAAAATGGATGGCAGAGATAGCAGGCAAAAACATTACCTGTGGAAATAGAGCTGATTTCACAAACATTTGATTTAGTTAGGTTTGATAAAATATTCATCAAAATGCTACTTTTAAATATATATGGCAAAAAATACAAAAAGAAGCCCTGGCCGGATAGCTCGGTTGGTTAGAGTATCGTCCCGATATACCGAGGTTATGGGTTCTGTCCCTGGTCAGGGCACATACAAGAATCAACCAGTGAATGCATAAATAAGTGGAACAACAAGTCGATGATGTTTCTCTCTCACTCTCCCGCTTCCCCTCTCTCTCTAAAAAAATCAATAAGTAAATCCTTAAAAAAATACAAAAAGAAACAAATATATAGCATGTCTGCTGCATCTGAATTGTGAAGCAGCATACTTTGGAGTTAAAAAAAAAGAAATTTTATGTATTTTTCCTTTTAACTTGAAATCAGTTTCATTTTCTTCAAACCCACTGTTACTGTTAGAATACTTCTCTATTATGTCTCAGCTCTAGCCTTTGGTATGAGAGCATCTTGCTGAAGATCATGGCATTGAAGGAATTACCTTGTTTTTAATTCTTTTAAAAAAAGGTATACTTATATTGATTTTAGAGAGAGAGGAAGGAGAGGAGGGGAGAGAGAGAAACATTGATGTGAGAGGGAAACATTGATCAGCTACCTCTCGCACACACCACTATTGGTAATCGAACCAGCAACCTTTTGGTGCACGGCACGATGCTCAGCCAACTGAGCCACACTGGCCAGGATGAGAAAAGTACATTTTATTGGGCCCTTGCCAAGGGTTTTACACATGCAATCTTAGATTATGTGTAAAACCCTAAGAAATAGGGACCTGGCTGGGTGGCTCAGTTGGCTGGAGCATTGTCTCATACACCAAAAGTTTATGGGTTCAGTTCCCCATTCGGGGCACATAAGGGAGGCAATGATTGATATTATCGCTCTCTCTCTCTTCCTCTCTCTAAAATCAATAAACATATCCTTTATTAAGGGTTAAATTTAAAAAAAACACCTAGGAAATAAGGAACACAGCCCCCACGTTGCAAATAAGAAAACTGATGCTCAGAAATATTGCACTACTTGCCCAAAGTCAGATCAGCCTGACTTTAGAGCCCATCTATCTATTTCCTCAAAAAAAAAAAAAAAAAATCCATTACATGTGTAAATATTTTATGATTGCTGTTAACCGAAAATGTCCAGATTTTCAGGGTATGTTCTGAAGCTTAATTTAATATTAAAAACATGTAGGTGCTTAGGAATAGAGAGGGAATTTTGAAGGAAAAATAAATTTCATACTTTGCTACTGAGGTAGTGGACTTCCATACAAATAGTTCAAATAGCTTTTGTTTTAAAAATTGAACTGTTATGTTTTCCAGTGAAAACAAAAAGGAAATTATATAAACACATGTCCTTTAAGAACTCAGCTGGGAGATAGACACAGTGTTCTTTGTCAGTCCCTCAGGACTCCACTTCCAAGTTCATTGTCATATCTACTCTGGCAAATTGATAATATTCTTTAAGTATTACATGCAGCCTGGATCTCTCTCACTTATTCTGGAGGTTCATCACTGCAAGTTCTAGAAGAGATTGCAGTCATCTGCTTGTGTTTACACAGGGTTCGCCTCACAGAGGCCTGCACCAGGGGTGGGTGCAGGCCAGGGTCAGTGTTAAAATTCAGTCTGAGACAGAGACAGCTGGGTGCTTTGGTACCTTCCTAAGGCATAAGTTCAATAAAGTTCAATAAAGCCATAATAAGGTAATTCCCTCAGAAGGTTTGGTGAATTTTCTAGATTCCTCTGCAAACCTTGTTTAGTATATTCAGAATTCCTTAGTCTCCAATCGGGGAATAGAGTATCCTACAACATTCCATTTTCTGAGTGACTGAAACAACCCTGTGCCAATTTAAAAATTGATAACTTTTGAATACGACTCTCTAGATTTTACAGTTCATCGGAACATACCCACTGATCACAGTCTCTCTTTTGCTTACAATTTGGAGTTATCATTAAGAGTGTGTGTGTGTGTGTGTGTGTGTGTGTGTGTGTAGTCTTGGTGCATAATATTAACAGCAATAACTATTGAGTTTTAAAAAGGCATTAGCCTGTTAAATTGGCAAAATAACTTTGTGAGGTCAAGATTAACACCAAGGCATGGGAAGACTGCACAGTTGCAACTGTGTCTCAAGACAGTGAATGAGAGCTGGGGTCAGAGCCAGTCAGCCCAGCTCCAAAGCCCTTACCTGGGTACAGGTGCACTGGTCAGAGCTTCAGAGCAAGGACCCCAGATTCAGGCAGCATATCAGAGATGCCTGTTAGACTATTAAACCTTTTCTTACTCACATGCTGGTTTACACTTGAGTCCAAAATGGCTATGGGGAACAGAGAAGTGACCTAAACTGAGAAGGGTATCACCATACATTTAAATATCTCCATGTACATATCTGATCATTTCCTGGACATGTGAGCTTCCTGTGCCCTGGATATTTCAGGAGAATGGTTGGGGATATCTTGTGTTGATACATTATACAAGAAAATTGAGAGCAGTTAATTTTTTTTGTAGGACCTGATATTTGTGGATTTGATATCAAGAAAGTTCATGTTATTTTATATTTCAAGAATCAGTATCACGCGAACAAGAAACCTATCAAGTGTAAGGTAAATGATTTTGTATTCAAATCAGTGTTAACTCTTATAAGACAATAACATAAGTTTAGAGAAAATAGTTTTGGTCTTAAAATATTTAAGTGAGCCAGGGATAGGTATTAGCAAACACACCCCTGTCTCTGCTTTCCAGTTTAGCAGGCCCATTAGAGACACTGGTCCTCTACTTTGGTTTGGTTTCTGGAGTTCCCCCCATTAGGAGGGCACTTTTTTACTGTGAGCTATAACATCAATTTATAATTTGCCCCATCAGCTCTAGCCAGTTTCTCAGTGGTTAGGGCATCAGCCCATGGATTGAAGAGTCTCAGGTTAAATTCTGGCCAAGGGCATGTACCTTGTTTGCAGGCTTGATCCCTGGCCCCAGTCGGGATGAGTACAGGAAGCAACCAATCAATGTGTGTCGTCCTTTTCTCCCCTAAAATGTGCAGGTTGATGGCTTTACACACCTCTATACTCTGATCTTAAGACCAGATCTCACTTATGAAGTGAAAATTGATGGCCAAGCAATTGAATCCGGCAGCATTGAGTATGACTGGAACTTGACATCACTGAAGAAGATGGAGAAGTCTTCAGCAGAGTCCAAGGATTGGAAACAGGAGAAAAAGAACAAACTCCAGGTATGGATTTTCCCCAAACAACTCTAGAAAGTGTGCAAGCAAAATCTGTAAGTACTAGGTCCTGTGCGATTGCTGCATGGCTGGCAATCATGATGACAACAACATAATCAAAATGCTATCTCCAGCACTTGTGTGTTGAAACCAGCCACAGATCTGCATGCCTCAAGGTACTGTAAGTTTTATATTTGAGATAAAGCCCAGCCGGGCATGGCTCAGCGGTTGAGCATTGACCTAGGATCCAGGAGATCCGGGTTCAATTCCTGGTCAGGGCACATGCCTGGGTTGCGGGCTGCAGCCGATCAGTGACTCTCTCATCATTGATGTTTCTGTCTGTCTGTCTCTCCCTCTCCTTTCCTCTCTCTGAAATCAATAAAGATATATTTTTAAAAAATTTTTTTTAAAAAAAGAAAAACTATATATTTTAGATAAAAGCAAGTATGGTTTGTTCTTTTTAACCAAGGTTGAATGCATCAACAACCTTTTAAAAAATATTTTTTTTCGTTATTCTGCATTTGAACATGAAATATTTTTTGTGGTTTCACATTTGTGATTGATGACCAAGATCAGTTAACATACAAATGTATGAGCTTCTCTAGGGCTGCTGAAACAAAACAGCACAGAGTGGCTAGCTTAAAGGACAGAAACCTATTCTCTTATAGTTCTTGAAGCCAGAGTTAGAAATCAGTGTTTTGGTAGAGCCACACTCCCTCTCAGTGCTCTAGGGGAGGATCCTTCCTTCCTTCTTCCAGCATCTGTTGCCTTTAGACATTCCTTGGCTGATAGACACATCACTCCAATCTCTGGCTTCATCTCCACATGGCCTTTTCCTCCCCTTGTGTCTCTTTTTTCTCCTATAAAGATATTTATCATTGGGTTTAGGGTACACCTGAATAATCTAATTGATTTGCCTCAAGGTCCTTATCTTTTTTTTTTTAATATATCTTTGATTTCAGAGGGAAGATAGAGGGAGAGAGATAGAAACATCAATGATGAGAGTCACTTATTGGCTGCCTCCTGCATGCCCCCCACTGGGGATCGAGTCTGCAACTCAGGCATGTGCCCTGATGGGAATTGAAATGGGATCTCCTGGATCCTAGGTCGATGCTCAACCACTGAGCCACGCTGGCTGGGCACGAGGTCCTTATCTTAATTACATCTGTAAAGACCCCTTTTTCCCAAATAAGCTCACATTCCCAGATTCCCAGTTTTAGGACATAAATCTTTTTGGGAACCACCCACTACAGCCACTCCCCCCCCCCAGTCTGTTTCCTTATAGTTGTAACATTTTGTTTTGAACATCAAACACTGTACCAAAACCTGAGCCATTTATGTGAAGACAGTCATCTTTGCCATAACTAAGAGTACTTGGCTAATGTTTATAATTAATTCCTGACAACTTATAACTTATCAGTGGCATTGCTATGTAATAATCAAATACTTCAGTATAGACTGAATGTAATTATTAAATCAAAATGGCATCTTGTTTAGGCTATTAAATTATTTGGCTGTCCTTTTTCCCATAGATAATCAAAAGTTAAGTTCCATAAATTTGGAATCCATGGTGTCCAATCAATGAGAATGCCTTCAGATTAGGGCAAATCTCCAACACAAAGGTTTTTCCATCATTTCTCAGGAAAAAGAGGAAAAGAAAGCAAAGTTTTCCCCTCCTTTTCTTACCTTAAAAACAAACCAAAAAAAAAGGAGTTTTCACCTGGAAAGAGCACTTACTTTAAACAAGGCACAGAATGGGAAAGAAACCCTGCAACCTCCCTTCCCCGAGGGTTTGGATGGAGACAGGTCACCACAGGGGGCTAATCGTTCTTTCAGAAGCTCCTTTCTGAACTGGCTGTGTTTTATCCCTATGCTCAGACCCTTGTGAGCTCCTAAACAAATTAATTCATTATGTTGTTAGGATCTGATAGCCCACAATTCTACTAGGGAACCTGCTACTAAGATTGAATTGTTACCATTTTCTGGATCCCAACACATCAGGGGCTCAGCGTTGCCATTTGTGGTCTGGGTCGAAAAGCAGTAGAAGAGGTGACTAACTCCCATGTATCAATTGTTGAGAAGTTACAGAGTGTCATGAAAAAGCCACTTTCTGAGTGGAAGAACATTTATAATTTCTCAGTTCTAAAAGAGAAAATGCCATTGTACACTACTTTTATGCTTTTATATGTGTTTTTCTGAGCATTAATCTATACAACTTTTTCTTATCCATTCATTTATTCAACAACTATTTATTCAATACCTACTAAGTCATATACATATGTATATAGACATGTGTATATATGTGTGTGTGTATAAACTTGTATATATATATACTTTTATATATTATACATAGGTTGTATGTGTATATATATATATGCATGTGTATAAATGTGTTATATATCTATGTATATATGTGAGTGTTTCTATATCTATAAAAGGACTCAGTAATAATTGCTTTTCTCCTGCTACCCAAGTAAATCTTGGGACATTTCTTAGTTGTCCAGCCTCTCTCTAGAATAGTCCTAAAGTAGGACAGACTTAAGCCAACCATCAATGAATTTGTGGCCCCCTCTCCCACCATCACTTTTTGCCCATCATTTCACCTTTAGACACTATTTCAAGTTTTCCACATTGCCATTCTTCTCGACAGCATGGGGAAAGTGCTGCAGTCACACTGGTTGGGGGTGGGGAGGGGAGGTTAGAGGGAACATCCTGGCAATGCATGGCCCTGGGGCCCTCCATGGGATCTGGACCCTCACCACTCAGCCTTCCCATCACCAAATAGAGGCGATGAGGAAATAGCAACCTGGGTCACAGGCCTGCCTGTCTCAGTGTAGCTAAGAATTTCCTTTCTCAAATCTGAGAACGTTTTTTCCTTTTTTTGTCTACATGTATTTTAAGGACTGGGAGAAGCATTTTCTGGATGCCAGTGCCAGCAAGCCGAGCGACTGGAACAGTGAACTGGACGGCGACTGGCAGGCACCAATGCTGCAGAAACCTCCATACCAGGTGTGTGGTGTCTTCTTACTTTGACACCGTTGGGCTGCGCCCTCCCCTGCTGTATCACTGAAGACCACCACATGGGGTTTGTTGTTGCAGGATGGCTTGACACCAGAAGGTATAGATAAAGATGTTTGGCTTCATCAAAAGATGAAAAACACCAACTATTTGACGGAATACGACCTTTCAGAATTTGAGAACATTGGTGCCATCGGGCTGGAGCTTTGGCAGGTCATTGGGTTTTAAATTTGCTTTAGTTTAATAACTCTGAACTTCAGCCTAAACTCCTTAATCTTAATTTACATAGCTGGCATTCCTTGAACTCCCGCTGTGTGCCTGGCACCTATACCTGGACCCAAGGCATACAGCTGTGGCCAAAACAGATGACCTTCTCACTCTCTGGGCACTTCCTATCTGCCTCTCTGCCCCCTGGGAATTGGTCACTCCTCTGCTCAGAGCTGACCTGTGGGTCCATCAGCTTTAGGACAAGATTGCAGTCTGATGCAGCAAGTATGGGGTGGAGCTTGAGGTTCTGCATTCCCACCAAGCTCCCACCTGGGTGGTGCTGATCCTGCCAGTCCACAGCCCACACATTGCACAGTAAGGTTCTCGAGTTGCAGTTCTCAAGCATCACTGAGTGCTCGAGGCTTTGGGGTGCTCTTCAAAGTCTCAATGCCCAGGCAAGCTCCCAGACCAGTTAAATCAGCATCCCTAAGGCTGAGACCAGGCATCAAGAATTTCAGAAATGTTCTTGGTGATCCTAATAGGCAGCTAAATTTGGGAACCAATGCCCTGGAGGGAACGGGTGTTCTATAAATGGGTTTAAGCATGTGCTGCTTTTGAGAGCTAATAATCACTGTCACAGTACTGAGCAAAATACAATTGTTTCTTGGTGGAAAGTTGTTACATTTCTCACATCAATAAGGAAGGCCTTATTTTCATCTGCAGGTGAGATCGGGAACCATCTTTGATAACTTCCTGATCACAGATGATGAAGAGTATGCTGAGAATTTTGGCAAGGCCACCTGGGGTGAAACCAAGGTATGATGAATGCAATGAACTTTTCTTTCATTATTTATTTATTTCTGTACTTGAGTCTAACATATAGGAAAGGGCTTGATGAATTTTTACTAATGAAAACCCTGCCCAGATCAAGACACAGAAAGCTACCAGAGTTCCAGGAGCCTCCTAATAGCCCCTCCCAGCTGGCACCCACCCTCAAAGGAACCACTATTCTATCACCACAGATCAATTTGACCTCCTTTTGAAATTCATATAAATGAAGCCATCTAGTATTTACTCATTTAGGCAGTGTTGTGAGATGCATTCATATTATCACATGCAGCAGTAGCTTGTTCTTCCTGTGAGAATATTCCATTCTCTGTCAATGCAGCTTTGGGTGGCTTCCAGCTTGTGGCCTCACACATAAAGCTGTTATAATCATTCATGTATGTGTTCTTCAGTGAACACAAGCCCAGGAGTGGACAGGCTGGGTTACAAGGTCCCTCACAGCCAAACAGTTTTCAATGTGTTGTCCTATTTTACATTCCCTGGATTTTCTCATTTAGGCTCTAAGGCCTCCCTTTATCGCCCATTCACTGGTCAGCTGGTTGAAGGACAGGGACCCACATGCTCTGGGAACAGAAAGAAGGGGTTGAATTCATTGCCTGGGGCTGGCATAACAAATCACCACAAACTGGCTGTTTAAAACAACAAAAATTTATTCTCTAACAGTTCTGGAGGCCAGAAGTCCAAAATCAGTATCAATGGGCTGAAATCATGGTATTACTAGGGCCACTCTCTCTCTGAAGATTCTGGGGGAGGATCCTTTTCTTGCCTCTTCCAGCTTCTGGTGTTCCTTGGTTTGTGGCAACTTCCCTCTCATCTCTGCCTCTTCTGTGTGTGTGTTTCAAATCTTTCTGCTTCTCTCTCAAGAGGGCACATGATGAAATTTAGGGCCTACCTCATAATTCAGGATAATCTCAACACTTAATCTAATCCCATTTGCAAAGACCTTTTCCCCATATAAAGTCACATTTACAGGTTCCAGGGATTAAGACGTGATAGCCTTGGGAGCTCTTCTTTAGCTGCCCCGAGCTGGAGTGGAGGCTTTCAGAAGGCAGGGGCAGGCTGCACACTAACACCCTGTCAGCCCCCAGGAAGCATAATCCCTGGCCACCTTGGTCTCTGTTTCTTTCTGCAGGGCCCAGAAAGGGAGATGGATGCCATCCAGGCCAAGGAGGAAGTGAAGAAGGCCCATGAGGAAGATGAGGAGGAACTGCTGATGGGCAGGTTTAATGGGAAAGAAAATAACTTCAGATTTCACAGGAGGGATGAATTTTAGTCACCCCCAACCCCAGATAAAGATGACTGGTACACCTTGTTTCTACTTTAATCTGCATTTAAAAGCTCAAAAGTCTACATATATGGTAATTTGTCTAATGTTCTTTGAGAAATGTTCCCACCATGCCCCTGTGCAAGAGATGTTTCCTCTGGACAAACCTGAGTGCTGGAAACCAGAGGCCACTGAGAGTCCAGCCAAAAACCTGATGCTCATTTCTGTTTTTTTAATCCTCACCTAAGGACATGTTTTTTTATTGATTTTTTTTTTTTTTTTCCCTCAAGAAAGAGAGGAAGGGGGGCAGAGAGAGTAAAACATCGATTGGTTGCCTTCTGCAAGTGCCCCTACTGGGGATTGAACCTAAAACAGGATGACACTCCAACCGAGCCACCTGGCCAGGGCCTGATGCTCTTTTCTTAACCCCCAAAATGTTTTATGAATAAAAGTTGGTAAACCCTATTTTGAAAAAGGGAAAATGATAACTTATTTCTTCGGTTCATAAATTACTAATAACATAAGAGAAAATTTTCCACTATGAAACCTATGCAACATCCTCAGCATGGAAAGGTTTTGCATGCTCCACTGGTATCTGGTTATTTTGGAGAACCCAGGCCTCTGTACACAGACATTTGAAATGCCGCAAAGAAGCTGATG